ACTGGCATAAAGTTGAAGCTGTTGCCAAAAAGTTAATAGAATTCCCTGCACAGACTTATTCATAAACTTATATATTTTTTCCCAGGTCAGCAAATAAAATATTTATGTCAGTTATGCATTTTCCATTTATAGTATCAAATATAAATTTACATATTTTGTATATAGTAGAATTGCATTTATCGATGGAGACAAACATGTTTACTTGAAGCTCCATGGTTTAAACTAAATTAGTAATTTTGCCTATTTTTATCAGTGTAAACACAGTTTTACAGAGAGACACAAAAGAGTGCCTTTGTTAAAAATAGCAATAAGAACGATTTAGTTTTAGATAGTTTAAGATATCGTGGCAGTATTCGCGAATGAGAAAACACTTCATATGAGGTAGATTTATTTCAACACAATATTGGGTTCACCATACTTAAGATTACGTCAATTTAATAATCATGATAATTTCAAGAACAAAACGACTTGGTACCTTATTTAAATTAAGTATCTTATTCAAAGTCGTAAGAATTTCATAGAAAAATAGGTAACTTTAAGCCAAATTGCCAAAATTTGTCTTGCGATCAGTCTTTGTCAATCATTGTCAGTGTCATAGCTGTCATCTTTTATTGATGTTGATTAACCCAAAAATCAAATCTATGAGTCGCACGTGTTTATTAATAAATGAACTATTAAAAATCTATTTTTGATGCAATAAATCGTGAGTAAAAACTAATTAGTAGCTAAATTCATGGGTACACAATCATGGAACATTTAATTGAAAAGTTTAGTGATATAACAGCAAAACCTGTAAATTATTTAGCTATTCAAAATGATATCAAAGGGGACGTTAAAAACTTAATTAAAACGTTGTACGATTTCACAAAATCAGAAGAAAAGACTCACAAAAAATCTAAAGGTGGTGCATTGCAGGATCTCATCATAGAGGAACTTGATGAAGAGCAAATATGGCAGCAAATTGAGTTACAGAATTCTGAGTGTTGGGATCATTTGGTATGGGAAGTCGCCAATTGTATCTCAAATAAAAATGATTTGAGTTTTCCTATAGATATACCCGAATTAGAAAATGAATCTGATGATGATAAGGAGATGCAAGAAATGCAGGAGGAAAATTCAAAACCTGAAGAAGATGAAATATCCTTTCCAAATAAATCAACTGGGAGAACGAACCAAGCTAAGAAAGAGAGAAAACCTCATAAAAAGTCATCCATTGTAGATGACCAGTTTTTTAAACTACAAGAAATGGAACAATTTTTAATTAATGAAGAAAAGATGGAGGAAAAAGGCAAGAAGAAAGATGACGATGAAGAGTCAATAAATTTATTTGAAGATATTGATGAAGCAGAGTCTGAAGATGATGAGGATGTGATGTATAAAGATTTCTTTAATGATGATGACTCTTATGTAAGTGAAGAAAATAATAAATATGATGAAGGCATTGAGAATGGAGATTTAGATGATCAAGATATGCCAGATGAAGATATAGCTAGTGATTTAGATAATGATGGTGAAGATACAATTCCTAAAAAATCCTGATAAGAAGGTAAGGTTTACTGGTCTTCAACCAGATACTGATTCTGAGAGTGATTCCCATCATAGTAATACTGAAGTCAACAATACAGTTATAAATAAGGATGAAAAGAAATCTGAATTTGAATTAAGACAAGAAAGACTTAAGCAACAGATATCGAGGTTAGAAGAAAAATCCATTAAAGAAGCTCCATGGCAACTAAAAGGTGAAGTTGATGCTACTAAAAGACCACAAAACTCATTACTTCAAGAGGTTGTTGATTTTGACTTGACTACACGGCCAGCCCCAATAATAACTGAACAAACAACAGTAACTTTAGAAGGTCTCATACGTCAGAGAATTAAAGATAAAGCATGGGATGATGTTGAAAAGAAAGAAAAACCAGTTGATGATCAACTAGCATTTAAAAAACCAGAAATTCTAGATCACTCTAAGAGCAAGCTTAGTTTAGCTCAAGTTTATGAAGCTGAGTATTTGAAGCAAAAGCAGGCAGCATCTGGAGACATTCAAGAAGAAGATGAACCAGAGAGCCATAAAGAGATTCGTGATATAATGTCCAAGTTATTTGCAAAACTTGATGCTTTATGCCATTATCATTACACTCCAAAAGCACCTCAGGCGGAAGTTAAAATCATCAGTAATACACCAGCAATTTCAATGGAAGAGGTTGCCCCTGTTGCCACTAGTGATGCAGCACTATTAGCTCCTGAAGAAGTTAAGAAGAAGCACAAAGGAGACCTTATGAGTAAAGAAGAAAGAACACAAACAGACAAAAATAGAGAAAGAAGGAAAAAGAAAATGTTCCAGAAAAAGAAGGGTCAAGTTATGAAAGTTACAGACCATAGAAATACAATAAAAGGTGTGGAGGCAAATGATAAATCTTTAAAAACATCTAAAGCCTTTTTCCAACAGTTGAATGACGATGCCACAAGTTTGATTAAGAAAAATAAGAATAAAAAGAAATAAATGTTATTATTTATCTCTACTATCGTTGTTTGATTTAAAGTTTGATATTTATAGTCTAATTATTTGTCACATTAACATTTCATAGGTATAATAAATAAATACGCAAGTAGAAAAATAAATATAATATTAATGTGTTTTTGGTAGGTTATGTTTTTGGAGTTCAAACCACAAATAATGATTTCATAAAACTTAAAACCCTAAAGATTTTCTTTTTAGCATACATCTTTCTTAAGATTAAAGTTAAAAACCTTTTTCATAGGGTATTTATTACACAAAACAATTTCAATTCTACTTGCATTTAATTAAAATAAGGAAATACTCGTGCAATACTAACGAAAACAGAAAATTCTCGTAACAAAATGAACCGCCAATGTTAGAGCAAAAAGAAGTAAAATTAAAATAACCCGCGCCTGCAAAAAAACACATCTGCAACTAGCGCGCTTTTGCTAATATTTGGCTAAGCGCTTCGGCTTTCTGTAGTTTATAAAATATTTAATTAAATCTATTAACATTGTTTCCGTTATAATAAAACTTTCATACTATTTAAAACATGCATACATTTTCATAGTTTCACACATACAGACATTATGATACTTATATTTGCTCGATATCTCAAAAGTATTTTTGACTTAGGAATGTGGTACCGTTAATAAGGTAGGTTCTGTAACAAACCCGTAAAATAATGTGAGAATAAAGAAGGTCATCCATTGAAAATTATTAGACCACAAAACAGATGAACATTAAAAGTTTATTAATCTGCATACGGTGTAAATAAATAATCGTACAGTGCGGTGAAGCGAATGTTTCCACAGTTTTCTTATTGTTGAGTTGTTCATTATATTGGTGATAATATATGTAGTACTACTGAGCAATTTAAGGGTGAATATTAGGCCTATTATGCGTTATATTTATGTTTTGTAAACTTGTAAGTCAAAGCGTGTAAGTATCATGAGAACCGATTATATATTTGTAGGTATATCATGAATTTACTGTTGTAGACATTCTTTTATTACAGGATTGGTATTATATTTTAAATTCCCTATTACAAAATATTACATTGCTCATTACTGCAATCGTTATGTGGACTGTGATGCGACTGTAATCCGCGTCGCAGCGCTCGGTCACATATTTATAATTTGTACAATTACCACAGCCTAGACAACCCGCGTCAAGACTTAAATATCTTTAGAGATGAAGTATTGTTCACACATGGCACAATATCGTCCCAAAAACAAAATTCTGATTTACAATATTAAAGCTATCGACTTAATATTTTCTGAACAGATATTGAGTTAAAAAAGAATTCATTATTTGATTTAAAATCAAAGTTTTATATATGAACATATTTTAAGAATTAGAAAATGTTAAGAATAATGTAGTTTATAGTAAACAAAAACAATATATTGAATTAGCCATTGTTAAAGCAAATATAAGCAATTATCTCTAGCATATTATAATAAAATTGTTAGATTTTTTTGGCAGGTCTAAAAGTAATAATGCCGACTAAATGAAGCCACCATCAGTGGGCTGCAGCGAGCAGACAAATAAATTCAGCGGGCGATAAGCGAAGTATAAATCAGCTGAAAGCGCCGCGAGCGCTAAAAACATCGCGCTTTTCTCGCTCTACTAAGGCTAAGATTTAGAATCAAGTTTTTTAAGATAGTAGTTTTCGAGCTAGGCGCATATACCTCCTAAGCGTAATTTCTTACGTTGCTTTCAATGTGCATAATAATTGGCATGAAGCTTATGGATGCTAAAAGAACACGAAACACTTCCAAGAGCTAAATAAAACGTAAGTAAATCTTTTTATTTAATATACCAAATTAATAAAACCTATTTGCCAAGGAGTCATATTATTATATAGGTAAAATCTTTTAAAGTTCTACGTCGTAGCATATGTAGCACGTCAGCACAACGCGTAACTCACTGGAGTACACAATACACATTCATTATACTTTTTTTTATTTTGTATGGCCCAATTATTGATTATTGCAGTACCAGAAGGGTCTTTTAGAAGCTGTGGGACATAGGTTTAACTTGAAGGCGCCCTTTCTGAGGCTTTTAATGTGCATCAGCTGCGGATTACTATAATATTTTGGCTTTACTTTTGGCTGTTGTAAAAAATATTAGAATAATCTATATATATAAAAGAAAAATGGTCTTCGTTTGAGGCTCTTTCACGCCTAAACCACTGATCGTATCGACATGAAACTACCACCATTCGATGCGAGATCCTAGATGGTTTATGGCTATTTATTTATTAAATTCCAACGTTTCTTCATTTTTTTATTGCTGTTTTACTTTTATGAAAATTTATCCATACGGACTTCACCGCGGAAACATTCGGGGAGGCTTCCTAGAACCTCTAAACGTCAACATCTGTTAAAAACTCGATTTTCGAAATATTTCAATTTTCTTAGCGGGAAGTTAAAAAGAAGAATAATAAAAATATGAAAAAAAATAAAATAATGAAACATAAAATTTATTTTAATTCGTCCAGCAAAGCGGGCGCGAAACGGCTAGTATAGTATGTAGGAAATAATTTTGACAGATATAATTTTAATAATAAGTCAACCAATACTAAGGGTAGATCTATAGTCCCTTAGGGTGAGATCTTTCGCACTTAGACTTTGCTCTGACTTAACTATCGAGCTAAGACACAGTCGGTATTTATAGAGCAAACTGCGAATCTCTCCCTAGTGTTGGCTTAGCTTAATCTCAAGTCCACGAAATCGACGACTTACCAAAAACTTTGACTATAAGCCTAACAAAAATAATGGCCCAAAATTTGCTTTACCATCATATCTTTTACTGGACTTTTTATTTTTGTCGGTTTTTAATGAACGGTGTTGCCATTTTGTATCGGAGTTCCATAGACTTTGGGAAAAATAGAATTTGAATTCAAAAGAAATTATAAATGATCTTGATAAATACCTATGAAATGCATGAAATAAAATAATTACACATTATTATGGTATTTATTGTTGTTTATTTATATTATTTATGTAATTGTTCAAACCCCATTTTTGAGAAATCTTAAAAATAACTGGTGTGATTTTGTATGTCACCTGGCAGCCCTGGCATATTATAGTGACAACGAAATTCAAACCATAACCTAACCGATGTCTCTCGCTTCACATCTGTTATTTTCGTTTCCCTGAATCTTCTACCATTTATTACCTGACTACCCTAAAAAATTTGAGGTAGGAGTGGAACATATGAAATTAAAAAATCTGTTAGAAATAGAATTTCTTCAACAAAAATATAAATTAGTATTAGAAATATGTATTACACTTAAAAAAAGAATCAGAAAATAAATGATTAAAATGAAACAAGTTTTGTTTTGATATTCTTTATTACCAAACAAATTACCTAGTCAAATTGTGCAATCACAGATTGCCGGAATGCTAGACCTGTAGGAGATCTTTCATTGTTTCTGTGTTACTCAACTTCTGCTGTCAGCAAGATCACCATCATCATAAGCATCGCCTCTCTGTATACCTATATTATGCAATACAGCACAAGCTATAATTATATATAACTAGTATTTGTCAATTTAGACTGTAGTCCTAGCTGTAAACATGGAAATTTCCTTTTTCACACTCCGAAAAACCTTTAAAAAATATGCCTAGTTCTTATTTGAGAATAATTATAAATATTGTCAGCTCTTGTCATTGGATTTAAAAGTGTTGTTAACATGAAGTTAAGTGCTGGATAACCGTTGTCACCTACTAAAACAGGCATTTTCTAAATATCCTGCTGTCGTGTGAACTGCCAGGCCACCTAGTCACTATAGCAAATATTTCCATATCAGGCCCTATTATTGCTTGCACATTTACAGAAAAATACCCTTTTTTTATTTCTGTATGCTTCAGAGTGAGCGATACCTTTGGGTCTATTAATTTTTATATGGGTGCAGTCAATAGCTCCGATTATACTGTTTAGGCCATGGGGAGTATTAGATCTTCCTAATTCTTCAAACTTCGTTTTGGCTGTGTTCATATTTCTTGGAAAATTTACAAATCTAGGAAGTAATTTACTCAACTCTGCAGAGACTTTATTTATAATTAAACAGACTGTAGATTGGCTTATGCTGTTCAGATCACCACACACCATCTGTAATGTCAACAAAGTATTATTAGTCACATATATGTTATGTTTGAAAGTCAGAAGACAAAAGTCTTTAACATATGTACTATTTAAAATCATTTGAGAAGAGGTATAATATATCAAATTGAAAAACCATACATATTTATGAACACAATATTACCTGAAAACATCTAGTTGCATTTTTATGCCTTAATGCAATAAGTATTTGCAATTGCGGTAGGTTTGGCGATCCTCTGTTGTTATAAGGTTGCAAGTTTGTAATGATCAGCGTCAGGATCACATTTAATACCGTGTGTTTCAAAATACGGTTCCTTCTTTTGAATTCATTCTCACCGTACAGGATGGAAGGATTTTGGTTTTATTAGTTCCGAACATATACAACACTTTAGGCATTCGTGGATTCATATCGGCTGCAGTTCCTACCCTTTCAATGTTTTCTATTGAAGATAGAACTCTCTCTCTCCATCATGTCACTTTCGATATTGATATTTCCAAGCGGTCCATGTAACAAAGCCAAATCACAAAACGTCACAGTGTTTCGGGAATGCGTAGGTCTTAAGTAGGTATACGATCCAGATTGGTCCAGGTCCAAGTCACAAAGCCAGTCGTTGTTTTGAAGAAAGATCAATTTAATAAATTGTCTTGTAAGTGGTTTAAAATTTTCAATTGTTGATAGTTGATACAAGTGCTCTGTTGCTGTTGTCAAAACATTGCGATCCGTTCTACGTAATAAAATTATTGTCATCTTTAAATAATTAATACATTTTCTAAAGGTTACTCGTGAATTTCTAGTTATTGCAATAATAAAATAAATGAATACATAAATAACAATAAATTGAAGATATATGTGTACCGTTTTAGATTTTTAAATATTTGTTATCGTTAACTTT